GCACCAGGCTTCTATCCTATATAATAAAAGGGTAATATGCAAACTGACCCTAACAGCAGAAAGACTGGGAATGACTGGTCACTATGACACACACTGACCACCAGGGGGCAGACGCTCAATGCAGGAGCTGCCTCCTGGTGGTCAGTGCGCTCCCACAGGGGGAGCTCTGCTCAGCCACAAGCCAGGCTGACGGTTGCTAGTACAGCGGTGGTGGTGGTGGGAGCCTCTCCCGCCTCCTCAGCAGCACTAAGGGTGTCAGACTGCAGCTTAGGCCTGCTCCCCGCTGGCAAGTGGACATCCCCCGAGGGCTCCCGGGCTGCCAGAGGGATGTCTGACTGCCAGCTTGGGCCCGATCCCCCAGGGAGCGGGCCTAAGCCAGCAGGTGGACATCCTCCAAGGGGTCCCAGACTACAAGAGGGCACAGGCCGGGCTGAGGGACCCCCCAGAGTGCACAAATTTTTGTGCACTGGGCCTCTAGTTCTTTTATAAGTATAAAAATTGCCAAACTTTTGTTGTTACTTTCTAGCATAATTTCTTTTTTCTAGATAGGAAGAGTGGGAACCAGGCAAGGTATTTTTATACTGAGGGGTCAATCACCATTTAAAATTCCCATTACCTGGGTGTTGGGAAGCATCTGAACTAAGTCTATACGTTGCCCTGGACCATTTCCCAGCTAGCACCAGGTGTCACCAGGTGACTGGAAAATGACCAGAATGACCCAGGTTATAATCTTAATGGAATACATTAAATAATGATATTTTCTAAAATACCAAACAGACCTTTCTTTAAAAAAAATGTTATGAATAACTTCCTTGCATTTAAAATAAAAACCTTAGTTTTCAAATGCAACTCAAAGTAATCTATAATAATAAAAGCATAATATGCTAATTAGACTGGACGTCCTTCTGGACGACAACTTTCTGGATGAAGTCAGGGCTGCGAGGGTGGAGCCCCTTGCACGAATTTCGTGCATCAGGCCTCTAGTTATTTAATAATTAATTGGGAAGGAAATTGCTATTTTCACTACATGGTAAATAGCCTTTTGCTTTATCAAATAAATACATGAAAGCACTTTGAAAACTAAAGTATCATATTTATAATGGAATAAATATAGTAGGTTTTCTAGAGAATTGGGTTTCAAAATGAGATAACTTTTTAGTACATACGTGATTGTTTATTTTGTATATATCATAAAACTTTAAAACAAATTCTTAGAGTTTTAGTTCTATATGTCAGCAACAATAGAAATAACAGTATTCTCTGGGAAGTTTTTTTTTCTGGGAAGTCTTATGTGAATTCTATTCTCACAAGAAAATATCTCAAAGACTTGGCTGAGTATTTTTAGTCATAAGAAGTGCTTTATGACTTTCTTTGATTTATGAATAAAAGAATATGCCTGGCTGGCATGGTTTAGTGGTTGAGTGTGGACCTATGAATCAGAAGGTCACTGTTGGATTCCTGGTCAGAGCACATGCCTGGTTGTGGGCTACATCCCCAGTGTGGGGCGAATAGGAGGCAGCTGATCAATTATTCTTTCTCATCATTGATGTTTCTCTCTCTCCCACTCTGAAATTTAAAAAAAAAGAATATGTTTTAGTGGTTTTAAATACACATATATTATTAATTTCAGAGAGGAAGGGAGAGGGAGAGAGAGATGAAACATCAATGATGAGAGAGAGAGAATTACCAATTGGCTACCTTCTGCAGGCCCATGACTGGGGAATTGAGCCCACAACCTGGGCATATGCCTCAAATGGAATCAGGACCTCCTGGTTCATTGTTCAATGTTCAACCACTGAGCCATGCCAGGCAGACTTTAGAGGGTTTTTAACCATCAGTTTTTGGCTATTTGTTACTTATTTCTTTAGTAACAATTACATTTGTGAACCAAAAAGAATGGTTTCCATAAGTTAATTACTAAGATATTGAAAACTTTATTTTTCTCTCCTCAAGGAAATTGTAAAACAGTAAGTTGATTTTTTTGGTACGTGTATAGTTATGGGATCAAATTAACAGAAATGTCAGTCTTTGACAGTTGATTCTCTTAGCTACTATATACAAGAAGTATATTAATAGAATTAAATCTGACATTACCATGGTGGTCTCTCCTTTATAAGCATCCTGAGACAAGCTCATTCTCCTTAGTTTGCAAATATCTGCCAATATTAAGGAATAAGTTGTCACTTTATATCAAAGCATCCATGACTTGTATAGCCAAGAAATCAAAGAGAAAGCGAAGACTGTAAGAGTAATAGAACCTACAGTCCTAAGTATTCTACTGGATTGTGAACAAATAAATCTGAGAGGAACACTACTAATAACAGTTTTTCTGGAAGAAGTTACCTTCAGTAGTGCTGAGATCCTCTTAGTAAGATTTATTACAAAGTTCCCTATCTCCCATAAAGAGGGAAATTATATGTAAAGAACTAATTATGCCAGTTTAATTGTCCAGGTCCAAGTTGAGTTGTAAAAGTTCATTATATAGTCTAATACAAGTTCCTTACCAGATATATGATTTGCAAATATTTTCTCCCATCCTGTGGGTTGTCTTTTCACTTTAAAAAAAATATTTTCTTTTTTATTGATTTCAGAGAGGAAGAGAGAGGGAGAGAGAGAGAGACATGAGACATCTATGATGAGAGAGAATCATTGATCAGCTGCCTCCTACATGCCCCACACGGGGAATCAAACCCACAACCTGGGCATGTGTCTGACCAGGAATCAAACCATAGGTCAACTTCCTGGTGCATAGGTCAAAGCTCAACCACTGAGCAACAGTGGCCAGGCTTTACTTTTTTGATAGTGTCTTTTGCATTGCGAAAGTTTTTAAATTTGATGAAATCTTATTTTTTCTTTTGATGATTTGTACTTTAGTTGTCATATCTAAGAAACCATTACTTAATCTAATATCATGCAGATTTACATCTATATTTTCTTTTAAGAGTTTTATAGTTTTAGTTCTTATATTTATGTCTTGGGTCAACTTGGAGTTAATTTTATATATTAAGAATTAATTCTTCTTAGTATTAGTAGTATTAGTATCTACATCTTAGTATTACTGTGGAATAATTGATGGTCAGTATTAAATTTGGTGAATTAAGAACAATACTATAATTTTCCTTCTCACCATTAATTTTTTAAAGATATGCAATTTTTAATTTTTTTCAAGGTGACAATATCTGATTTCAGAGTCAAATAATTACAAGGCTCATAATAAACAGAAGGCCCTGCTCCATCTGTCATCACTGATAACTGCTTCCCAAAGGAAAACTGTTGTTCTGCTACTTAATTCCACATTTCTAAAGAGCACGTTTCCATTGCCATGTCTTAGTTTTTCAGTTTTAGCCATTTTATGCCATTTACTAATTTCTCATATGTTTATGTGACATTATTAAGTATTTATTATGTATATTTTAATGTCTATTATGTATTGTCCACCAAAGGAAAATTGTTCTGCTACTTAATTCCACATTTCTAAAGAGCACGTTTCCATTGCCATGTCTTAGTTTTTCAGTTTTAGCCATTTTATTATATTTACTAATTTCTCATATGTTTATGTGACATTATTAAGTATTTATTATGTATATTTTAATGTCTATTATGTATTGTCCACAAAATCTCATGTTATCATATCAGTCAGGAGAGGTTAATTATGCCACATTAACAAAATTCCACAAAACCCTCAGCAGACTGCAACAATAAAGGTTTACTTGTCATTCACACTGCATGCCCAGTGGCAGGTCAGCTTGTAGTTCTGCTCTATGGTGTCTTCACTCAGGACTCAGATGGCCAGAGGCAGCCCATCTTGTGGCAGGGGCAGAGACATGGCTCCTGAAGCTTCTGCCTGGAAGGGACACACTGAGTTGTGCCCCTATTTCATTGGCCACAGCAATTCACACTGCCAGGTCTGTCATCAATAGGGCAGGGAAGTATAATTCTCCTCTAGAGAGGCAACATCAAGTGTTCTTAAAACAATCATACAGTGTACCTGTAGTTTATAATCTCCTCTTTCTTGGGTTTGCTTAGTTTTCTTTATACCTATCATCATTTCATCTTTATATGTTCATAAGGTTCAAACACAGGCCATTGATCAGTTCTGATTTTTTTTCCCCTTGGAGACATCCCCTCTAGAGCCCTCGATCCTTTATCAGAACAAACTGGTTGCTCTAAAGACCTGCTACATAGCTGTCATCCTGGAACTTCCCTTCACTGTCATCCCAGGGGAGAGAGAGACAGAGAGACAGAGACAGAGAGAGAGACACATCAATGTGCGAGAGAAACATTGATCAGTTGCTTTCTGTAAGCACCCAGGGGATCGAACCTCCAACCTGGGTATGTGCCCTGACTGGGAATCAAACCCACCACCTTTTGGTGTATGGGATGATGCTCCAACCAACTGAGCCACACTGGCCAGGGCCCAGGAATTCTTTTTGTTTTTTTCTGTCAGAGCTCCTGTTTACCAGGCCCTATGTGTTTGTTTCTTAGTTTACACCCTTATTTTGGTGGAGTACTTCTCTCCTGTAGCTTCATTAGCATATGTGAGTTAAAACTTTTGAGAATTGTTTTCATTTTGACATCTTTTTCTGTTCTCTGCATTGGCTCTATTTCCTTGGTTTCTTCTCTTATTTCTATTTTCTTCCTTCATGAAAGAAAGAGGATTTCTTCAACTATCTGGTGGTCCTTGACTATACACCCACATTTAAGAATGAGATAATAAATAGTTGATTAGAGCCTCTGTTGATATGGGCAGGGCTTCACTATAAAGAGATAGGTGACAAGCCACATTCTCCATTATAAGACCCTCAAAGTCAATATTTGTAGGCCTTTTCTCTTGGACCAGCTACTTTTTCCCAAAGAGGAAGCTTAAGATCCCAGCATTCTAGCATCTGAATGAAGCTGGGGTTATGGCTTACAATTCAATATATACAACTTGATGCGGTGTTTACCTATGCCGCCATCTTGCTGGGTTTTCTGTTGACCTATTATGTATATTTTAATGTCTATTATGTATTGTCCACAAAATCTCATGTTATCATATCAGTCAGGAGAGGTTAATTATGCCACATTAACAAAATTCCACAAAACCCTCAGCAGACTGCAACAATAAAGGTTTACTTGTCATTCACACTGCATGCCCAGTGGCAGGTCAGCTTGTAGTTCTGCTCTATGGTGTCTTCACTCAGGACTCAGATGGCCAGAGGCAGCCCATCTTGTGGCAGGGGCAGAGACATGGCTCCTGAAGCTTCTGCCTGGAAGGGACACACTGAGTTGTGCCCCTATTTCATTGGCCACAGCAATTCACACTGCCAGGTCTGTCATCAATAGGGCAGGGAAGTATAATTCTCCTCTAGAGAGGCAACATCAAGTGTTCTTAAAACAATCATACAGTGTACCTGTAGTTTATAATCTCCTCTTTCTTGGGTTTGCTTAGTTTTCTTTATACCTATCATCATTTCATCTTTATATGTTCATAAGGTTCAAACACAGGCCATTGATCAGTTCTGATTTTTTTTCCCCTTGGAGACATCCCCTCTAGAGCCCTCGATCCTTTATCAGAACAAACTGGTTGCTCTAAAGACCTGCTACATAGCTGTCATCCTGGAACTTCCCTTCACTGTCATCCCAGGGGAGAGAGAGACAGAGAGACAGAGACAGAGAGAGAGACACATCAATGTGCGAGAGAAACATTGATCAGTTGCTTTCTGTAAGCACCCAGGGGATCGAACCTCCAACCTGGGTATGTGCCCTGACTGGGAATCAAACCCACCACCTTTTGGTGTATGGGATGATGCTCCAACCAACTGAGCCACACTGGCCAGGGCCCAGGAATTCTTTTTGTTTTTTTCTGTCAGAGCTCCTGTTTACCAGGCCCTATGTGTTTGTTTCTTAGTTTACACCCTTATTTTGGTGGAGTACTTCTCTCCTGTAGCTTCATTAGCATATGTGAGTTAAAACTTTTGAGAATTGTTTTCATTTTGACATCTTTTTCTGTTCTCTGCATTGGCTCTATTTCCTTGGTTTCTTCTCTTATTTCTATTTTCTTCCTTCATGAAAGAAAGAGGATTTCTTCAACTATCTGGTGGTCCTTGACTATACACCCACATTTAAGAATGAGATAATAAATAGTTGATTAGAGCCTCTGTTGATATGGGCAGGGCTTCACTATAAAGAGATAGGTGACAAGCCACATTCTCCATTATAAGACCCTCAAAGTCAATATTTGTAGGCCTTTTCTCTTGGACCAGCTACTTTTTCCCAAAGAGGAAGCTTAAGATCCCAGCATTCTAGCATCTGAATGAAGCTGGGGTTATGGCTTACAATTCAATATATACAACTTGATTAATTCAGCTTTTCTGTGGAGAGAGTCACCCCTGTCTTCAGCTCTGCCTGATGTCCAGGGGAATTCTGAGTCTGCCTCTCCAGAGAGGAACCCTCCCATCCTCTGCTGAGTTAAGGCAGCATGGAATGGAGTAGGGATTAGAGGGAATGAAGGATCTGACTTCTTTATAAAACTTTCATAATGAATTGTGGTTTGCAACCCACTCTACGTCTGCTTTCAGAGGTGTGGCAGTTCCAGTTTCAGACCTTTCCAGGATCTGTGATGTAAACAGGTTCACCTGGCTGGCTCTTCCTCCTCCCAAAAGCTTAGGTATTCCCTTTCGTGGTTTGGGTAAGTCAGTTATCACTCAACCATCTGCTTTCCATGTTCCCAAGTTTTGTCGACATCCTTGTTCAGCAGAAATCTCTCTTCCTATTTGCTTTGTCTTAATGTGTTTATACCTTTTTATTCCTTCACTGTCATTTTAGTGAGGTATCTGGAGTGGAGAAAAATGTGTGTTCAATGCACCATGTTTAACCAGAAGTCTCCTTACTTTTAGGTCCTAACATTATAGATGTAATGAAATTAACATATTTTTTAAGTAGGAAAAGTCCAAGTATACTTATAGGCAATTCCATAAGAATAAGTACAACAACAGAATAACTATAGCTAACTCTATTGAGTGCTTATATGTGCTAAGCAGTCTTTAAAAAAAATTTTAAATATGTTTTTCATTCATTTTTAGAGAGAGAGGAAGGGAGAGGGAGAGAGAAACATGGATCGGTTGCCTCCTATATGCGCCTTAATCAGGGACTGAACCTGAAACCTGGGTATATGCCCTGACCAGGAATTGAACCGGTGACCTTACAGTACACAGGATAATCTTTAATCAACTATGTCACACTGGCCAGGGCGTATGTGCTAAGCAGTCTTTAAGTGCTTATATGTATGATAAATATTACATTTTATCCGCACCATAACCCCATAGGATAGGTGCTTTGATTCAACCCCTTGCAGTCTGACATCAGAGTCTCTTTATACAATATGATACATCATTTTCTAAACTACAGGTAATCTTATTATTTTTAATGTCAGGTTTCTAGTCAATCCCTGTTTATTAAGTTATATCTAAAGTTTTCATGTAGATTTTGAACATTTACCAGACATCATTTGATGTGGCAAAGCTAGCATCACTTTTGACACATTTTTTGAAGGTAATCGTTGGAGGTAGAACAGAGTAGTCTATGACACATTTTAAAGCATAGTCATTTAAACTGGGAAGCCTGGCATGTGTTTGTTTTATAATACAGACATATGGGTACTTCCTCTTAAAGAAAGCAGTTACCATCTGCAATCTGAGAGGTCAAAGAGAAGCAATTAGAAACCCCACATTAGTACAATAAAACTTTAAAGTGCCTGTTTAAATGAAAACTCTTATCATCAAAGAGTGGAACATATTAAGTTACTGATGGCCTTGAACGCCCTAATTCAGATCATTTAACCCCTCATTCTTTGAAGATTTTAGTACCAGACTCATTATCACTCCCTCCAAGGCTATTCACCACTCCAAGGCTACTCTAACTCCAGTGGATAATTCTTTGTGATACCCCTTCCTGCCTCTCAGTTCCTTGACTACCACTCTGCAGATGATTTGTGCCCCCTGCTAATTGCAGCTTCCTACTTTCACAATCATTTCCTACACCTTGACATTACTGATAACTACAGCCCCTCTTCTAATTTTAATTTCAAGCCTCCGGCTCTCCAACCCATCTCTTATGTTTTCAGCTCATTCTCTAAATTTATATCTTGCTCACATAATAATCCAGAATGAGTGTTCCAGGTCAGAGGGCAGCTCTCCTTCATCCAGGCACCTTCTTTCTTGTGGCTCTGTCAATCTGGGCAGTTTGTAGTCACCTGCATAATCCATCTGGCAGAAAGAAAAAAAAAATGCATGAAGGAGGCACACTGGCCTGGCAATGGCAGACATCATTTCTGTTCACATTTCACTAGCAACAACTTAAAGCTTGACCATACCTAACTGAAAGAGAGGCTGAAAACACACACAAACAAACAAACAAACAAACAAACAAAAAAGACTGTGTGCCCAGGAAGGAGAATAAATTGTGATGGACAATTAGCGATCTGCCAAAATGATCTTGCTATTTCGCCGAGAAAATATAAATAACTAAAAAAGAACTACTTTGTTCTGCTATCAAATCCACAAACCTACTTCAATATGTCCTATATAGGTGAGCATGGAGCGGGGAGGGGATTAGATTTCTAGGCTGTCCCTGATCACAAAGGGGCAGTTTCCAAGCTTTCAATTAGAACATGGTCCTAGTAACTACACACTTAATCACAAAATTGAAACATACCTTCCTTTCTTGCACTTTTCAATCTCTGTGGAAGGAAACTCCTTCCTTCCCCTGCCTTTGTGAATGGCCAATTTACCTTGATTTGGAGATTTTGCATTATCTTAGTTCTCTTCCCTCTTTCTTTGCTGGCTTCTCATCTAGATTAGATCCCCCCTTTAAAAAAAACTTATTTGTTGTTGACACTGGCTTCTCTCATCTAGGTCAGAACTTCTCAAACTTTAATGTGATACAAATCACTTGGGGTTCTTGTTAAGATTCAGCAAGTCTGGGGTGGGGAAGGCTGAGATTTCTAACAAACTCCCTGGTGATGCTATTGCCTCTGGGCTATGTAACCAGGTTCTAAAGAGGATGTTCTCTAAGATTCTGCCCTTCGTTTTATTCTTTTTGTCACAGTGATATAACTGTAGGCTGATAACTTCCCTATTTTCTAGTTCAATCCTCTTTCATATATATATGCACACACATATTTTTTTTTTTATTTCAGAGAGGAAGGAAGAGGGAGAGAGGGATAGAAACATCGATGATGAGAGAGAATCACTGATTGGCTGCCTCCTGCATACCCTCTACTGGGGATCGAACCCACAACCCTGGCATGTGCCCTGACGGGGAATCAAACCTTGACCTCCTGGTTCATAGGTCCACACTCAACCACTGAACCATGCCGGCCAGGTGTCTCTTTCCCATATTTTAAAACCTTTTTATTTAACTTCTTAGTGTCCACCTCTATCTGGCTGACTTTCAAACCTTTAAAATGGCCAAATCTAAATGAACAAAATAGATCCAGAGACATAGAAACATAGAA